GATCGGAGGCGAGCCTGTTTTCTACTCCGAGCGTGCCTTAAGAAATCATCATCAGGTAAAAGGCTGATGTGTTTGGGTGACGTGTACTGTGGACCTGAGTCGAGAAAAGACGTGCAGATCCGGTTGACTCACATTTTGGTAAAAGTAAAGTAGTAGAAATGCTAACCTTACTTTCCTCCTTTTTTACTTTGATTTGCCAAACTTAAGCTAAAGTGCCAGTAAAATTGTTTGGTTGTTAAACATCAGAACTGATGTTTTACTGTTCTATTATAAGTAATCTGAGTGATGTGGACTGAAAGTCGGACGCGAGTTTTATCCTATTAATTCTGACGCTTGTCATAGGAAACTGAATACCCACAATCAAGTGTAACTTATGACTTGTTTAATTTGTGTAAAAAAAAAATGATCGCATAGACATTATTAACCAAATTGAACTTGTCTGGGTGTTCCACTTATTGTGTCATTTTTCACTTCCCACAGTCAAGATATTAACGAATAGTGAGAAACCTTTGGTAAAAAATTTTCCTCATAACCCTGCGTATGAGAGATGTGGGAAAAAGCTTATTTCATCCTAAGCTCACCTCCTACAGAAGAGAAAGTTGAAAGACACAAGACCCAACACTCTGGATGAGCTTAAGGCCACTATCGAAACATCCTGGGCCTCCATAACACCTCAGCAGTGCCACAGGCTGATTGCCTCCATGCCACGCCACATTGAAGCAGTCATTTCTGCAAAATGATTCCCGACCAAGTATTGAGTGCATAACTGAACATTATTATTTGAAGGTTGACTTTTTTTGTATTAAAAACACTTTTCTTTTATTGGTCGGATGAAATATACAAATTTTTTGAGATAGAGATTTTTGGTTTTTCTTTATTTTTTTGCCAAAATCATCAATTTTAAAACAATAAAAGGCTTAAACTACTTCTGTTGGTGTGCAATGAATCCAAAATATAGTATATGAAAGCTTAATGTTTATCAGTACATTACAGAAAATAATGAACTTTATCACAGTATGCTATTTTTTTGAGAAGGACCTGTACTGTATATATATTAGGGGTGTAACAATACATGTACCCGTATCAAACCGTATTGAACAGTGCTTTAAGTTACAGATTTTTAAAATTTGCATCTGAAGATAATCTGTGTTGAAGGATCAGTGGATCTGTGTTCAACTACTCCACCTAGGCTGCATTTTTAAGTGCAGATCCACTGAGAAACTTGCTGTTTCAGCAATATTTAATTTAAAACTGTGCTTTTGAGGTTAAACAAATGTTCAAAATTAATTTAAATAAATTACAATTTAAAAAGGGCATGGACATTTCTCTTTTTTGTATCGAAAAAATATCAAACCGTGAGACTAAAGTATCGAACCGAACCATGAATTTTCTATATCGTTGCACCCCTGTGCATTGACTTCCATTCATTTTTTGGTAATTTTATATCCTTGCCCTGACTACAAACCCTAATCCTAACCTCACAGGTACCTTCCTGAACCTAAAACAAACCTAAACTCATTTCACACCTTGGTCCTAAACCCAGCCCCCACACCCAAAATCAGCCTCCGAAGTTGTGGGGCCCAAAGGTCCCCACGATGCTGCATTTTCCTTAAACATGGGCCCCACAATGTAGGAAAATCAAGGAAACACCCACACACAATCTAGTACAGCTGTCTTTTTGCGGACATTCCATTGACTTCCATTACATTTCTACAGCCTAACCCTGACCACAAACCCTGCACCCACTTCGGATGTTATCATCCATGAAATGGACGTTATTAGGCATTCTCAGTCCCCTAGAATGGCTTCAGAATGTCCCGTCTGTGCCGCTTAGCAGGTTCCCCATCCCATAGAATGGCTTCTGATTGTCAGCTTTTTAGTATAAAGCATAAAGCCACTATCTGGTTAATATGAGGCATAAAACCACTATCTGGTTAATATGAGACATAAAACCACTATCTGGTTAATATGAGGCATAAAACCACTATCTGGTTAATATTAGGCATAGAGCCACTATCTGGTTAATATGAGGTATAAAACCACTATCTGGTTAATATGAGGTATAAAACCAAAGTCTGGTTATAATGAGGCATAAACCACTATCTGGTTAATATGAGGCATAAAACCACTATCTGGTTAATATGAGGTATAAAACCAAAGTCTGGTTATAATGAGGCATAAACCACTATCTGGTTAATATGAGGCATAAAACCACTATCTGGTTAATATGAGGTATAAAACCAAAGTCTGGTTATAATGAGGCATAAACCACTATCTGGTTAATATGAGGCATAAAACCACTATCTGGTTAATATGAGGTATAAAACCAAAGTCTGGTTATAATGAGGCATAAACCACTATCTGGTTAATATGAGGCATAAAACCACTATCTGGTTAATGTGAGGTAT